TGAATTCCACAGACCACGGGATTAAAACAAACAAATAAAAAAAACAGACCCTGAAACTCCAAATGCCATCAGGGATGGCCCTCAGGTTAAGGCACGGAGGCCTTTTAACAGGCAAAGGTTACCTGTTCGTGACAGAGGTGTGCAAATTCCACATGCCTCACATTACAGAGGACACTTCACTTCCCTCATCTTGTGTGTGCCAATTTGTGTCCCAAAAAATGGGTGAGCGATTCCTTCTCCCAGGGGTGTGCCCAACAAGGTCCTCTTAGCAGGCGGGCTTGCAGATTTCTGTGTGGGACTCTGCTGCCCCCTGGTGGCACCGCTCCGTCTCCAGCTCTCAGCAGTTGGTAAGCATGGACCTGAGAGTCTAACTGGGAAATTCAATATTACGAGTCCTTCTACCTGAAGGCATTTATTCAAGCACTCCTTCAGAGCAAGCCCCGCTCACAAGCCCCTCCAGCCAGCTTTCTTCCTCCCACCCCACCTTCCCTTCTCCGAAACACCCCTTCTCCGAAACACCCCTTCCACCACTAGATTAACTTCCTCCTTCAGCTGCACCCTTTTCGACCCCCTTTTCTGGTAGGAGGTAAGTGCCCCGCAGGCACCTCTGCTGCTCAGAGACCTCCTGGCTGGGCTTTCCTGTGCCCTGTAGCTCACTAAACATTTTGCCTTTTCTAGACCAACTTCTCTATGAAATTCCTCGATCGGAGACAAAGGTTTCAATTTGTCTTCCCGAGTTTCCCACTTTCAGAAATTACTTCCAACGTGAAAGGGGTAGAAAAGACAGAGCCAGGACACGGGTGCCACCCAGGCCCCACCCCTGAGTCCCTGGGGGAAGACGCCAGCCCTCCTCTTCCCCAGAGTGAAGCTCCGGAGAACGGGCGCCCTTGGCCAAGAGAGTTCAGGTGGCAGTCATCTCAAAGCTCACCTCTGAGTGACAGAGAGAGGACTTGCCTGGCCTCCCAGGTTCCTGCCTGACCCCACAGGGGGCAACTTCAGAGAAGCAGAGGAGAAAGGAAAAGAAGGATGATTTGCATAAAAACAAAGTGCACATCCCACAGGGCCAAGCTCCTCAATGGACAAGAGGCAGTTAGGAAAATAATGTTTCCATGTTCCTCTGAGAATCACTATCTGGCTTCAGAGAGGTGTGGGGGGAGAGAGGGGAGGGTGTGTAGTCCTCTCAATGGTGAGGAGACTGTAAAAGGCCTGAGCCCACCTTACCCTGTGCCCCTCACCCCTACTCCAATCTTCTGAGGAGCTCAGGAGAGTGGTTCTCAACCTCTAGATTCACCAGAACCACCTGGAGGGCCTGTGAAACCACTTGACTGGACCCTGTTCACCCCACCCCCACCTCCCACCCTGAGTCTCTGACTCAGCAGGTCTGGGCAGGGCCTGAGAATCTGCACAGCCACCACGGTCCCAGGTGATCCTGGTGCTGCTGGTCCAGGGAACACTCTTTGAGAACTGGAGTTAGATCAGCTGTCATCACTACCCACCTCTGTCTTACACAATCATTTTACACAGAATTTTCAAACAGATTTAAAATTACTTCAGGACAAAAGAAGGATCCTCTGCAACCCAAACTGAGGTATGCAAATCCACAGGCTAAACAGTGTCTGCCTAGAATACCAATGCCACCTACAGATTTGCAGAGGGAAAACAGCTAAATAATTTAACGGGCACTTTTATGACATGACATTATTGTTATCATGCAGAAATATACTTTCGAGGACAATGCATAACTTAGTGGCATTTTTTAAGACAGAATTAAGGGACTTCTAAGAACCCTCTGACTTTTCCAGGGGTCACGTTTCGTGTTCTCCTCTGAAAAAGTTCCACACTTTAAACTGCACTTCTAGGCCTGGGGGGGGGAAGCCTTGCACGTGTGTGAACTGTGTGCACATGTGTGTTCTGTGTGTGCATACATGTACTGCGTGTACTGTGTGTGCATGCAAGCTATTCTCCTCACCTCAATCAGGATTTTGTTTTGATGGTGAGAGGTAGGAACCTCCCTGAGAAAGGCCGTTTAGGTGTTTTCAGGTACTAACACTGTAGGTGAATTAATTGCATTAACATGTTCCATGAGGCTAGCTGTGGAATAAGAAAGAAATCTAAGTGGGAGGAAAAGTGAGTTGGGAATGAGGAAGGTGGCTTGACGTGAGCTTCAAACCAGGTGGCTGTGGAGCGAAGGCTGGCAGGGTCCTGGCAGACACAGGCACCAGACGCAAAAGCACACGTGCCACCGACCCTCCGGCCCCACCCATCACCCATCTAAATCGCCCCGAACAATCCCAGGCTGCGGCAGTTTGTGAGAATAGGAGGGAGCATACTATCTGCCAGTCAACAGCTTAGACAGCTTCTCCTTCTACTCTGCAAGCAATACCATGAGCACCCAATTTCTTCCTTCCCTGGGACTGCCCCGCGGGCTCCCCAGGAGACCCTCGCTGTGCCCAGTTATTAATCCTGGTTGTCACAGTCCCCGAGAATCAGGGTTGGGACAAGTCAAGTTTTATTCTGAAGGATGATTTTCCTGAAGTATTTCTCTTTTTTTTTAATATATTTTATTGATTTTTTACAGAGAGGAAAGGAGAGAGATAGAGAGTTAGCGCTCTATCCAATGAGCCAAACCGGTTTCGGCCTGAAGTATTTCTTATGTTTAAAAAAAAAAAAAATCCAGACAGCCCAGCCAGTGTTGCTCAGTGGTTGAGCATCAACCCATGAACCAGGAGGTGACGATTCGATTCCCAGTCAGGGTACGTGCCTGGGGTTGCAGGCTCGATCCCCAGCAGGGGGTATGCAGGAGGCAGCCAATCAATGATTCTCTCTCATCATTGATGTTTCTATCTCTCTCTCCTTCTTCTTTCCTCTCTGAAATCAATCAAAGTACATTTTTTAAAAATCAAGACAATAATGTGATTTAAATTGGTGAGCACTATGCCTGGCTGGTGTTGCTCAGTGGTTGAGTATCGACCCATGAACCAGGAGATCACGGTTCAATTCCTAGTCAGGCAATGCCTGGGTTGCAGGCTCAGTCCTCAGTAGGGGGCATGCAGGAGGCAGTCAATCAATGATTCTGTCATCATTGATGTTTCTATCTCCCTCTCCCTTCCTCTCTGAAATCAATAAAAATACATCTTTTTAAAAAAAAACAAACTCAGGGGTCACTTGCATGAACATGGCAACAAGGACAGAGGCTTAACCTACAGAACACTAATCCAATTCCTAGGGACCTACCTGTCCGATGAACTCGGGGAAGCTGAGGATGGGCCCGTTGTGGAAGACTGGATAATAGAAGACATAAGCCATCATCCAGGGCAAGGAGTAGAAGGTGCGCCCGCAGGGCAGCTGCTGCCAGCAGAACTCGAGGCTGAAGCTGGTGTAGTACAGGCAGCGGACGGTCAGCGTGAACTGCAGCAGGTAGTACTCATTTTCTGTCTTGTACCACCCTCTCTGCAAAGTCGCCAGGAAAGAACAGCCCGTGAGTGGCAAGGAGGGACATGGCCCAGTCTCCAGGGAAGGGGATTTCTTCCACAGGTAGAGCCACAGTGCCATAAAGGGAGTCGAGAACCACTGAACAGCAGGTAAATCCGTGGTAATCAGAATAAGCAGTGAAAGAGCAGCGGGCAGAAGAGTGTCTCTAATATCAACCACCAACTCAGCATTAAGCCTGATGCAACATAATGAAGATTTTCCCAGTATGCACCTGTCGATCCATCCATTGGGTATCCTGGAGGTTAGCCACGACCCATGGACACTGTGACAGCTCCTCCAACAATTCTGAAGACAAAGCGAGGCTTATAAATGTCACACGGACTGTCCACTAGCTCATCTTTCCCATCAGGTGCCCATCCAGGGCACACGAATTCCAAGTGCCATCACTTGAATCAATGAGTGAGTGAATGAATGAATGAATAAAAATAAAGACACCACAGGAATTCCAGCTCTGCAGTGTTTTAAGAAAAAATATAAAAAAACTTTGCAACATTTTCTATGCAAAGAAATACTCACCTTATCTGTCTCGGGGGCTATCATGGGCACCAGATGAGACAAGGCTTATGCGAGTTTCCTGTAAATTGTACAGTACTCTCCAGATGACTCTTGATGAAATGCACAGGGAACTATTGCTTTCTTTTCTCTCTATTGCTGACCCTCTGTTCCTGTGATATTTGCCACCATCTAAGCCTACCCAACCTGGAAGAAAAGGTTAGCCCTGTGTAACCTCAAAGGCCTAAGACGGCTTCAAGGTTAGCCCTGTGCAACCTCAGAGGGCTAAGACGGCTTCAAGGTTAGCCCTGTGCAACCTCAGAGGGCTAAGACGGCTTCAAGGTTAGCCCTGTGCAACCTCAGAGGGCTAAGACGGCTTCAAGGTTAGCCCTGTGCAACCTCAGAGGGCCTGTGAAACCACTGGCACTTTTATAACATGACATTATTGTTATCATGCAAAAATATACTTTCGAGGACAATGCATAACTTAGTGGAATTTTTTAAGACAGAATTAAGGGACTTCAAAGAACCCTCTGACTTTTGCCTAAAAACGACCTCAAGAGGGCTAAAACGACCTCAAGGTTAGCCCTGTGCAATCTTAGAGGCCTAAGACAGCTTCAAGGTTAGCCCTGTGCAACCTCAGAGGGCTAAGATGGCTTCAAGGTTAGCCCTGTGCAACCTCAGAGGGCTAAGACATATATGGCTACAAAAGATGCCTGCAGAATGCAACACCAGGGTTCACATGCATCAACTGCACGTGGCCACTAGGAGGAGCCCCATCACAGTTCTTCAATTGTCACCTGAAAAAGGGATCTACAGGATGGGGGCATCACCCAAGGGACCTTCTCCTCCCCAACGGAGACACTTACTTTAATTTCCTCCACATCCTGCAGCCTCAGCGTGGAGAGCAGGAGGAGAGAACAGAGCCATGACAGGAACAGTGACCGGAACTGGGCTACGCAGAAGGAGATGACGGCGTGGAGGAAGATCATGGCCGTTCCTGGGGTCCCCAGCACACACCAGCAGGCCCACATCCCGTAGGCAGTGAGGAACCAGGGTCTGTGCTGTGGACAGAGGACCCGTGAGAGAGGCACAGAGGGAGGGGAGGGAAGAACAGAGATAAAGGGGAGCTAAGGGGCATTTTTATGGGAGGTTCCACCTACAAAAGGCTAAGGCTTGGCGCCCCCCCCCTCCCCCCCGCACACACTATCCTGCAAAAGTGACGGTGAAAGCAAGTACTGGTGAACACCTCTCAGGGGTCTTACTGAGAAACCCGGGCCATCCAAACCACAAAAGGCTTTTAAAGTCTAAACCGCAGACTTAATATGAAATATTTAATTACATTTTTCCTTCATTAGCATATTGTTTACAGTCTAATTTATGTCACAGAAAGCATGTATCTTACCTGCTTTTTATGATATTGAGGCCTTTGCATAGTCAACCTGATTGAAACATTGTCTCATTTTAGAAGAGTCAGAGACTATCTTTCTATTACCAAGTTTTATAGTGATTGCCATTGAGTAACTAAATAGGTAAATTAGCATGTCTTTGCTTTCATGATAAATTCTTGGTCATCTCTGGCTCACTTAAAAGCCACACTGATGTTTAACATTGTTTGAAAGGCAATATATCATAGTGGTTTAATTACTCATGCTTTTAAGTCCAACGGCCTAAATAAATCCTAGTGTCCCCATTAACTAGCTGTGTGACCCTAGGTAACTTGCTTCATGACTCTTGTGTCTCAGGTTTTTTTTTCACACATCTAAAATTAGGATAATACCAGTACCTCCTTCAGAAGGTTGTTGTGAGCACTTAGCAAGTAAATGCATGTGAAATGCTTACTAGTACAGTGGTCTCTGCATACACAGTACGAACAGTAGAAATTTCAGTTGTTATCCTATAGGGAATTAGGATGTGTCTTTTCAGCGTGCATATAAAATATGGTTTCCAGGAATGTCTTCCTGTAAAAACAAAAAGCCTCCCTGAAGGGAAAGGCAGATGTGGGCTGTACATTGTAAATTCCATCCTTAGATGCTAACTCTTCCAAAAAAAAAAAATTGCTGAAGTACAATTTTTCCTAAACCTATACTCCAGCTCCAGAGAGAACGTTTTAAATGAGCGATTATGTCAGCCACTTTTAAGTTCCAAGAAAATCAGAGTTCATTTTTACTATTTTTCCATCCTACCGCCCACAGGAAACAGCCACATAAATTTGCTTCAAACTTTCCCCCAAACACTCACCTCTGGGCAGAGTGCAAGTATAGGAAACAAGGTCGCCAAGAGTGTTTTAAGAAGTAGTCACAACAAATGAAAAAAAAAAAAAAAGGTTCTTTTGCAACATGACCTACAGCAGCATTATTTACCCCTTGGGATTGTTTCATGCTATGTACGTGCACATATACACAGCCACATTTTTATTAAGTGCTATTTGATCCATTTGGAAAAAGCCTGTTTTCTGGGATTCGTCTGGGAACTGAACCACAGACTTAAGCTGCTTCAACTTGGAAACGCTGACCGAACCGTCAGGAAATTCTTCATAGTGCTGTGCAAACCCCAAGTGCTCGAGAAATCTCTGATGAGTTCCCCGTGCTCGCCAAGGCTACCTGGGGGCACGTGAGCTGGTCCCAAATTCCATCCCCCTCTGTCTTCCTTCTGCCAAACAGTCCTGGCAGGCGGCATCTGAGGTCGTTTTCTCTAAGACTTCACAGAAAATGCTCTCTCGTTCACCTGTGGTCTCTGCAAACCCTCATACCGCCCACGCATGCTCACCCAGGGGTAAAGGCAAACCTACTACCTACGTTCACGGCGAACAGGCGGTGAAAAGGAAAAGATGTGGACAATGCAAAAGAAGCACCTATAAGATACTGATTTTCGCCGAAGCCGGTTTGGCTCAGTGGATGGAGCGTTGGCCTGCGGACTGAAGGGTTCTGGGTTCGATTCTGGTCAAGGGCATGTACCTGGGTTGCAGGCACATCCCCAGTGGGAGATGTGCAGGAGGCGGCTGATCGATGTTTCTCTCTCATCGATGTTTCTAACTCTCTATCTCTCTCCCTTCCTCTCTGTAAAA